TGACCCTCTTCAGCTTGCTGTCAGTCTCAAGTAGGTCATTATCTTCTGCCACACTGACTTTCTCACCTGGATGGTAGTAGTGACACTGGAAGAGTCACATAATTCTTCTTCATTTTAAAGTGCCTTCAGTACAACTTTTCAACCTCTCCTGTTGAGTAATGACCATCTCAAGAGGAATTATCTTTTTTTTTTCCTACAGATTTTATTGTCATTACACTGTCACAAGTACAGAGCGACGAAAAAACTCTCCCCACCGTCTTGGGGAGCAGTGGGCTGCCAATGATCGGAGCTCAAACTCAGAAACTCAGGATTCCAAGCTCTATACCAGGCATCCCCAAACCCGGTCCTCGAGGGCCGCTGTCCTGCAGGTTTTAGAGGTTTCCTTGCTCCAGCACAGCTGATTTTAATTGAAAGCTGATTAACAGACTTTTGCTCTACTGCAATCATTATAATCAGCTGTTTTAAAGCAGGGCAACCTCTAAAACCTGCAGGACAGCGGCCCTCGAGGACAGACTTTGGGGATGCCTGCTCTAAACCCTAACCACTAGGCCGCCATGAACTAATAACAACAATAGGCTACTTTGTCAACATTCGTAATATTTGAATAGAATCCAACTTTATTGTCATTATACTGTCAAAGCAATGTAGTAAAAAAGCAATGAAATGTAGTTTGCATCTATCCAGAAATGCTATACAGGATATAAATATTTATTTACATGTGCACAGAGACTAAGTATGTATAGACTATAAATGGTATATATAAAAGGAGAGTTGTAAAATAACTAAGTATGAAAGCTATACAAGAAAGCTAGGATATGGATTATTTATATATGTTAGTGCCTTTAAATACAGGATAAATAATGACAGATAATAGCAGATAAAAGATTTGCAGATTATATACATCTATAGTGGAGAAGAACATGTAAGTGGTGTTAGATTCATAGGGTTTTGGGTTGGTGTGATCACAACAACTCCAAAAGTCAGAATCAGAAAAATCTGTTTTGACAAGTAGAATTTTACCTGTACAATGAATTTGCTTTGATGAGCTGTTAAAAATAGACGAAAATAGAGCTGACATTAATAAATGTGGAAATGTGTAATGTGGAATAAACAAATGCAACTTGTAGAGAAACGTGAAGAGATTAGGAAAAACAACAGTTTAACATTTTGCAGAGAAATAGCATCATAGCAGATATTGCAACTACATTAACAACAATATGAAGGTAAATTAAATAATTACGTGTGCAACTTTGAATTATTTGTAAATAACTGGGACTTAAGTGTCATCTTGCCGCAGGAGGAAAACAACAGCCTGAGTGAGATCAACTGGTGAACCAATATTTTTTTTTTTTTAAAACAACCTACCAAAAACTGACAACAACTTTCAAATGAAGTTGGTCAGACCTATCTACTGTATTGTACTGTATGTCAGCTCCATATTTATTCATATCTAACTTAATTTATATCTTTTTGGAGAGATAGGGAAGACATGGAGCAAAGGTACCCAGCTCGGGACTCCAACCTAGGATGATCCTATGCTCTGCCAATGCACCACCACTTTGCACTATAGTAAACTTATCCAAAAAGCTAAACGTGTGTTTAGACTGATCCGGAGATGTTTCCTGCCTGTCAACAAGGCGGTACAGAGAAAAAACGTCTCATTCTCCAACTATTTCGAGAACCAGTTTAGAACCATGTGATAACTCTGGAGGAGCTGCAGAGGTCGACATCTCAGGTGGGGGAAATGACCTGACCTTTATAAAAGAAAAGCTGGCTCAACTCAAAATGTAAAGGAAACACATTGGCAGATTTTTGAGTTTAGGACTTTAAGTTTTGCTTTTAAGTTTGACAGACTTTGAATTCCATGTTATTTTACCTGAAATGCTGTGTTTTTCTCCCCAACTTATCTGAAAGTAGTGATGACATAGAAAAAGTAATGATTTAACATCCAATCTTAAAGTTCTTTCTAAAAAAAAAAACATACTTTCTATTTAGAGCTTAATGTACCTTAATGGGGACAAGTGTCTTCTACATTTTTAAAAACTTTTTTATTTTAGTGACATTAATAGTGTGAGTTTTGAACCTCTGACCTTAAAAATTGTTTCAAAGAGAAAAGTCTCTGCTCACTAATGTCTAGCCCTCCATGGTGATTCCAATTTCTTATTAATGGTAAGTTTAAACCTTAACCAAAACAAGAATTAGATAAGCCCTTTTTAATCACTGTAAAGAACAAAAAATATTACTCTGATTGGCTGCATCCATTTAGCATCCATTTATATGTTAAAATAACATTGAAAAAACATTAAATCTCTGAAATTAAGTTTTCCTGCATTTCACGACAGGAAGGTGAAAGTTAGCTGAACTTTCACCTTTTGAAATAACCAACAACTTAAAGGAAAAGTACACCCAAAACATGATTAGCCTTCATTTTCTACTCACCCCCATGCTGAACAACACTCTGGAGTACTTTTTTGAT